TTTTCAGATGAATCAGCTCTATCTTCTGTATGACTTGGTTGCTGTAACTGGTCTGCTGAAGGGTATTTTCATGCTTGTTCAGGAGAGAGACTGATTTTGATTAACGCAGGCACGTCTTGGAGCGTGCGTTTTCTTCGTCTGGATGTTCAGGACTTGCTGACTTCTGCACTGTTACCTTTGCCCCTTCCTGTTGTGCAAGTGGCAAAATCTTTGGGGCTTAGCAAAGCATTATGTGTTGGATGTCCTAGATTGCCCCAGCCTGAAATGAATAAGAAGCTTGTTTCTGCTCTTGAGAACTTTGCTTTCTTTTGTGGCTGCTGAAAGCTAGGGAGGATCTGTAAGCAGTGCTGGCTGTCTTTTCAAGAAGGAAGTAAGAGATGTCCGAAACGTGGAATGATGCCAACATCCCAGGGGCATGAAGTTCAGTTTGAGGGTTGTTTTGTGTTTTGGTTGGTTTGTTTTGTTTGCGGTTTGTTGTTTTGTTTGGTTTTTTTTTTAAAGTAGTGGGCAATTTAGGTAGAAATGTGGCGCTCTATTGATAGCAGCTGCATCTTTAAACTGTAACATAGACTCTTGGTTTTCCCAGTCACTGTAATTGAGGCTGATGGTGGGGGATGTCTAGATCATCGCTAACCAATAGTCGTATCCTCATGCAAGAAGCAGCTCCCATTCGTGGGCATAAAGTAGATGGCTCCAGAAACACCGAGAGAATTAAGGTACAGCTAAGCAGCATGGTAGTGGCTAATAGCAGAAAATAGTTGGATAACAGGCACTCTGATAGTCTCAGCAGTTCATGGTGCATTGGGAAGATGGTCTACACTGTTCATGACAAGTCTGTCTTGTTTTTTCCTATTGCCAAACTGTCACAAACCAACGAAGAGAAGAATCGCTGTGTGACCTGGCTTTAGGATAGTGCTTTTCAGCTAGATCGAAAAGAAGTCCTACATATGCCACCAGACCAACACATCTTACTTTTGCTCTTCAATCTTTTAAAATTCAAGTGGAGGGGTTTTTAGAGGTCGCTCTCTACAGCCGTGTTCTCTGCATGCGCTTTTCTCTCTAGTGGCAGGCAGCCCTCGCTCCTCCCTCTGAGCTGATTCAGCTCACTGACCATGCAAGAAGAACACGTTTCTGCTGAACTAGCTCGTAGCAACCTGACAGGTTTCCCAGCCAGCTTGGGGAAGGGGTGAGGGAAGGGAAGACGCTGCTGCTTTTAGCAGCAGCAAGGCTGTGCACAGGATTTTCTAGGCAGGAGTTCACCTGCAAGCAACTGATTTGTAAAATTCATTTTATTAATACAGTGTTTTCTAGATCAAATGAAAGGGATACACGCGAGACGCTTAGTCTCCCATTCATTTATTCACATTTTCCATGGATTTTTGTACACTTCCTCAATGTATTAGAACTAATGAAAACAGTTACAAGTTATGTGAAACTTCAGTATCCACTGAAAAATTCAGAGCAGTTTGAAATCTATTAACAATTAACAAATCATCACATTCAGCATTTTCATTGGATTTATACTAGCTCATGCCACTTTAAATTGTTTAATGTCAGTTAATTTCTGCACACAGGCACCAGCTACAAAATTTTAGCAAATGCAAATAAGTTAAGGCATCAGAAAGTAAGTCTTTAAGGACATTTTAAATGTTACAGTGCTGCAAAGGGAGCTGAACTGAAGTTCGTAACAGTAAAGCGTACCTCCTAATTGGTTTACGTTCCACATGTTCATTTGAACTGTAAATTAAATTTAAACTTTCACATCCATCAACCAAATGGGCTTATAGGAACACATTGTGATGCCCCCAAATAGATAATTTTAAGTACATTACCCAAAAACAAACAAACAAAAAAACCCTGCATATAGCAATTTAAAATTTTAAAATAAAATTAAAACCAACTGTAATAACCTCCTTTACAGATTATTCTGAGAATTAAAAGAGGCAGAGATCTTGATTTTCTGTTTTGGGGAGTGGGGAGGTGAGAGGGAAAAGGAAAGACTTCTAAGCAGCTGAAACGTCAAAACTTCAAAATTGCAGCAGAAGAATGCATGAGACACTCCACATAGGTACAGCTGAAACAGTGAAGGCATTAACTCAAATTGGGGAGGAAACTTGCATCTTTAACATCAGGTATCTGATATCCAGCTGTTGAATGTATTAAGTATCTACCAAGATACAGGAA